TTGGCGCTAGGAGCTTTTAAGAAATCAAAGTCAGGCGGGGTTCTGAAAAGTGGCTAAATATAGCGACTAAGTTGGCAGCACTGCTCTTTGCATGGTTTGTTTTCAAATGGTTTGCTGCTGTCTGTTTGGACCTTTCTGAACATGTGCAGCAAATGGACTGATCCAATATGGTGGACACTGAAGGGGGGGCTGAGACACACTTAATATTATCAGCGTTTTGATGGCATTTTAGTGAAAGGATTTCTATCAAAAATATAATTAATGTGCACAAATAGGGAAGAATTGTATTAACTATATATGTAAACAGAGTTTTATGGGGCCCCCAGGAACTTGGGGGCCTCTTGGATGCAAGATGCTCTAAAATGAAACCTTGGGAAGTTTATATATTTTTCACTTTAACTTAATCCTGCTTCTGGAGCTGATCTAAGCGATGTGGTCCCAAAGGGCGGAGCTAGAGGGGGGCAGGGGTGGCACTAAACCTCTGAAGTCTGTTTGCCCAACTTTGGGTGGGTGGATCCCCCCCCAGATTATTGACACATCACAGGCGCAGATTATTCCTGAACAGGACTAACTGCTTTGCAGAGGTAGAAAGAGTGAAACAAATATTTCACACAAGCAAAAGTACAGTACCTTAGAAATTATACCTAAAGAGGAGGTAAAATTAGCAGTGCAAAATGTTTGCACCAGTTTTTTGTAAGCAAAAAAAAAAAAAAAGAATCCTACTGGTTGTTTTCATAAAGGAAAAAAAAAAGATCTTGACCTTAAACTTTTAACCAATAATTAACAATTGCAATAAATACAAGGAGAAATACTTGGGGAAAAAAAATCACCTTATTTAGCACCATGGATTTACTTGCATGTTCATCTATTTGTTTCTCCTGTTAAAAGTTAATGAGAAGACCACCTGTCTGTGGCTGTTTTTGAAGGTTTGTGCAGGCTGCTTATCCTGACAGATTTATTCACATCAGAGGTGCAGTGATCTGCTGGTATTGCTGTGAATTAGTGAGACTCATCTTGCTGCTTTGGATGCTTTCTCTTTAACCTCCATCATGGTCCTCATGGTCTCCTGCATGCAGCGGTTCCTCCCAGCAGCGTTCAAAGCAGACGTTGACTCTTCTCCAGACTTCCTGTTCATCACAACAAGCTGGAGGCTGGCGGACCAGAAAGAACACTAATATGTAAACTAATGTTTTCATCTGTTCTGATCAGAATGATTCAGGTGGGTTTGTAGTTCCAAGCATATAAAGGATGATCTTTAGGGACAGATTTGGCAGTGTTGTGGCCCAGCTTTGATGACACACAAAACATGGAAATCCACACAGGCCACAGATGCACCGTGGACTTATTTTATGCAGGCAAAAGAAAAAATGTTCCAGGTAAACTCCATGTTTCTCTTGCACTGATAGAAAAAAAAACCATACGCCCACCCAGATGCATGCTGGTCCTATGATTGACAGCCTATTTATAAAAAAAATAATTCACCTAAATGAATCATAACTAACCAAAAACAAAGGAACATGACTAAATAACCAAAAAAACTTATCTCAAAACAGGTTTCAAACAATAAAGTAAAATAAACTTAGCTAGATTATGCACAAAAACAAAAACATTTTTAAATATTAACAAAAAATAATTGGCTCCTACAGTCAGGTTTTACTAAATTTTTCCCAAATGCATTTTTTATTGCAATCACAAACCAATTTTTATTTTATATTTAATCTTTTTTTTTTTTTTACATGGAAATCCAACCAGATGACTTCAAAAAAGAAATAGTAAAGGTCAATGTTTGTAAGCAGCCTGTATTCCCATCTATAAGGTCTATTTAGTATTGATCTATCTGAGCTTAGAGGAAAATGATTCTGTTTTGAGAAACTTTTAAACAAATGCTTTTATTTTTATAAACCATTTGTTTTAGAAGTATGTTTATGAATGGATCTGCTCTTTTTGCAGATCTCTATTGTTTTCTAATGTGGCAAGAGGAAAGCCATGCTCCCATCATGTTAAGGAACATGCAGTGGAAGACCAAGAAATCCCAAACAAACCTCCATTAAAGGCAGTTTCATAATTCCTACACTAGATGGCAGTAGAGTACAGCAATCAATGGGCCTGATTGAATCCTACCACCTGCTGGTGTCGCTGTTTGCCTGCAGTGTTTCTCATAAACTTCATTAGATTTATATCTCTATGGAGATTTTTCTGTTCAGTTCTGCAGTAAGAACATAATCACACATTTACAGGCTTCTACTGAGAAATGCAATAAGCTTACGCAAAGCTTTATTGATTCTGACCAGGACTGAAGACTGGGAAGTTTCCTGGACGTGGAGGAAAATGTCATTTTAGGACATTTTTCCAGCAGGATGTTTAGGACTTGTTGGTCATGATAGGGGTTTGGAAGTGTGACCACCACCCATAGACAGAGCCTGGATGCTTCCTGCAGGCTGATGACCAGATTGTCTTTTTTCCTGACGGTCCAAACAGCCTGTGGTGGGTGGTGGGTTGAATTCGGATTCTCTGCAGAGTGTCTTTCTCTCATTGCTATTTTTCACCTTCCTTGACACCATCAGCTGTTCAATTCTCCTGATGAAAGTCAATATAGAAACAACCAGACCTACTGCCATTTCTGGAAAGCTCTGCACTGGTGGCAACATGCCACTCATTAAAGTGTGTAGTTTCTTTCTGAAGCTCATGCCGGTCATTTTCAGGAAGGAACAAACCCTAAATGTGGGGAATGGCATCAATGTTCTTCATTTGCAATTACAGCATTTCATTTCATCACTCTGATGTCACCGAGGAAAGTCTGGGCAAGTTTATTTGTTCGGCACAATTCAGGTCAAAGGCATTTTAAAGTGCTTTATATAAAGTCAAAGATGGAATGGATGGAAAATGCGGGTGAAGATTCTGTTATCCAGTGATTCCAAAAAAGTAAAAAAAAAAAACAAATTTGCATGTTTTCTAAACCAAAACAACTTTTTGGGCTGCTATATAAAGCTTCATCCTCAGCAATATTTCTGACATTTTGAATTGAAAAAGCGAAACGTATTCAAACTTGAAAACCAAGGCCAGTGGATTGTTTTTATTTACATTTTTTTGGAATGGTTGAAAAATTAGAGCAAGTAGAGATAAAAACAGGGTTAAGTGTTTTACTGAGAATTTATATTCCTGGCAAATGAAAAAAAAAAAAACTTGCAAATTAGCAAATATATGTTTCCAAACAGATTTTTATTTCAAAGCAAAAAACGATACAGAAGTCATTGCAATTTTTTTTAATAAGTGTATTTTTCCCCATTTCATTTTAGCTTGTTGACAAGATGATCTGTCCATGAAATTTGGATTTTTGCCCGTAAGATAAGATTGTCAGGATTTGATTAAAGGTCAGACCCAAAATGCAGAAGACCAAACAGAGAGACCAGGGAAAAGTTTAACACGTTTATTAAGAATATGGTGATAAATCCAGTGCTGCTCAGAACACTGTCAAACCGGAACTGGAAGGTGAGGGGAAGACACTGCGGTTAGTTCAGGCTCAGTGGGAAATTAGATTCTTAGGCTTGAATTGGAGGAATAGGTTGCAGACTCACTCCTCCAGAAAAAGGTGTCCTTTATGGAATCCAGTCTGTGTGGGAAGGTTCCAGTGATTGTCTTGTTTGGTGTTGGGCGGACGGGGTTTACTCAGACTGTGGTTGCTCCTAGGTGAACGGAGAAGCTGACTGCCACTCAGATTTCCTGCGGTACTTGAACGGGCTTTGGTGCAGATGAAGA